GTAGGATGTCAGTTTGCTCTAACTCTACGTATAAACTAAGTCTATAAAATTACACTGATGAGATTTGTTAAAAATCCCAAATAAGCCTCAGTATGTCACAGTAGAACTTGACTCATCATCCTGGGTGCAAAGATGACCCTGTTTTTTTAGTTTCCAAAGTAACTGCTTGGTCTCTTCCACCCTACACTACCCTCTTAGCCAAACTCTTATTATCTTCTTGAGGTCTTTACCTGTCCTGGAGTTGTCTGAAACCCTGGGGGGCTTCATGACCATCTGGAGTGGACTTCTTTTCTCCAGCTAACCAGAAAGCCTGTCTCCTTTGCTGCAGGGGCTTCTGGACACCACCAAGTGTTGCTTCCAGTGACCGGCCTCCATGATCAGAGAGATGGAAGACTGGGAGGCTCGTGTGTCACAAACTTACCCTGGCCTCAGGGTGGGTGTGGGGGGAGTTGGGGTGAGTATTAGGGAGGCACCAAGCTTGTGGCTCTTTGCCAAGCACACTCCCTTGGAGTGTCTGGATGTCTCACTCCACCTCCGACAGTGGACTTCTGGGAGGCGGAATGTCATTCAAATCTCTTCTGACCCTCTTCTCCCCAGCACTCAGCCCAGGTACAACGAGAACCCTATCACATGGCAAAATGCAGCAGAAATGTCCGTATGAAGCCAGAGTTGATATTAAAATATATCAACTAAAGGCTACCCAAGGGTCTCACCAATAATGGATCCATAAGACCTTTTGACACATGCCAATGATTATTATATGGCCACTGAAATTCAGGCTAGCCTTGGTTAAGCGAGTGAGAAGATGTCTAGAACACAACATGAAGGGGGTAGTTACAGCAGGGCTGTGAAGGAATTGTCCCTGTGTACTGGCATGCCACGTAGGGCAGGTGGAACTGTTGGTGAGACTGTACATGGTACAACTGCTCTGGTAATCAGCGTGGAGGCTCTTCAAAAGACCAGGCGTGGAACCACCATGTGACCCAGGTCTACCACTCCTCAGTATTTATACAAAAGAATTAAAGTCATCACAATGTAGTGGTCCATGCACACCCATGTTTATAGCAGCACAACTCACAATAGCCAAACCAGCCTAGGTGTCTGTCAGCAAGTGAGTAGATAAAGAAAATGTGGTGGGGCTGGGGATGTGGCTCAGGCGGTGGCGCGCTTGCCTGGCCTGCGTGCGGCCCGGGTTCGATCCTCAGCACCACATACAAAGATGTTGTGTCTGCATTATTAAAAAAAATTAAAATAAAAAAAAAAGAAAATGTGGGGTACACATACCATGGAGTTTTACTGAGCCATAAAAAAGAAGTTGTGTCATTTGCAGGAAAACGGATGGACCTTGATAACCTTACATTAAGTGACATAAGGCTGACTCCACAGGGTCATATGTTTCCTCTCCCATGTGTAAGGTAGAGAGACAAAGCGGGGACAGCCAGGGGGACCAGCAGAGGGAGGAAGGGAATGAGGGGAGGGAGAAGGGGAAGGAACAAGTGATGAAACTGACCAAATTATGTTCATGTACGAATATGTCTCAATGAAGCCCACTACTGTATACAATTATAACACCAATAAGAAGAGGATGATCTATTATTGTTGTTGTTGTTCAGTAAATGTTGGGCAGGGTGTTTATTTATACACAGTGCTGAGGATGGAACCCAGTGCCTCACACACGCCAGGCGAGCGCTCTGCCACTGAGCCCCAGCCCCAGCCCCAGCCCCAAAAGAGGATTAAAAAAAAAAATCAGGCAGGCGGGGTGAGAGGAGTAGGGTCTGACTCCCTAGAAAGCCATGGGTTAAAAATGGGATTTGTTTTGCGAGACCAGTTATTATCCAGCAATTGTCCAAGGATGAGTCACACTGGTCTCCTAAAGCTGTTAATTACCTGACTGCCAGGTTTTAATTTTATTTTTGTTTCTTGATTGTACATACTTCAGTGGTGAATGTTTTCCTTGATTATTGTTTTCAAAACCTGGTTAATGAAGTGCTTGGGATAAATTCCCAGGGAAAGGAGGGCTGAGTTGAAGGTATTCAATAAAAAAATTCTCTGGGCCTCTAGTTAGGTATGGCCAAATTGTTTTACTTTTTTTAGAAATCTGAGTCACATTTTTTTAGTTCAGAAATTACAAAAGTGCAAGCCAGATATGCTGTCATATGCCTGGGATCTCAGCTACTTGAGAGGTTGAGGTAGGAAGATCACAAGTTTGAGATCTTGAGTCAAATTAAAAAAGAAAAAGAAAAAGAAAAAGGGCTGGGGATATCTCTCTGTGGCAGAGCACCTCTGGGTTCAATTTCTAGTAAGGGGAGAGAGAGAGAGAGAGAGAGAGAGAGAGAGAGAGAGAGAGAGAGAGAGAGAGAGAGAGAATGAACCACTTGTTTGTTGAGGAAATTGTTACGGGTCAAAGTGGAAAAGGTATTGGCTTAAGTATTGGCCTATAATGATGATGATTCTGGTGCTGGGGACGGAACCCCAGACCTGGCGCATGCGCCTCCAGCCTTGGTGGTCTCCCAGCCTTCAGGTTCCCCGGGGAACAGCCCCTGGTTCAGCTGCTTATCCTTTGGCGCCCTCTTCTGGGGGATCCACGCATCAGCCTGTGTGGGCCTCCCCGGGAGCCGTGTTTGCGGTTGGGGGTAGGTGGAGCGGGGCGCGCTGAGAGAAGGCTTGGGCTCGGGTGAGATGGGGAGGGGAGCTCACCTGTCACTCAAAGGCCCCGGTGGCATCTGGGTGGAGGCCAAGCCTCTGGGCCTTGCCCCGCTCAGAGTAGAGCCACTTCCACATTGCAGTCGCTTATCTCCTCAGGGACAAAGCTGGTCCGCCCATCCAGCACTCATCACCCACCACCCACAACTCATTAAACCCCTCTCTTCATAAAGAAGAATGAAACTATGGCATTTGCTGATAAATGGATGGAACCGGCGTCTATCATGCTAGTGAAATGGGCCAATCTCAATAAACCAAAGGCGGAATGTTCTCTGTAAGGCACAATAAGGGGGAGGGGAGGGAAGAATGGAAGTGCTTTGGATTAGACCAAGGGGAAGGCAGGGAAGGGAGGGGGGACGGGAATAGGAAAGACAGGAGGAAGAACTGGACATGAGTTTCTGTGTTCACCTATGAATAAGCGACCAGTGCACCTCCACATCACGTTCACCCACCGGAACGGGAAGTCACACTCGTCATGTGTAATATGTCACAATACCGTCCACTGTGGTATGTACCTGGAGAGAACAAATGAAGGAAAAGCCCTCTTAGCCTCTCTCCACGCACAGCTCAGAGTTGCAGCTCTCTCTCGGTGTCTAGGGCCCTTCGCCCCTGGTTCATGTGCTGCTCCAGCCTCGTGTATTCTTACTGCTTGTGGGTGCCCAGCTCTGTCCCCTGAGCAGGCCTGGCTCTTTCAAACCTCCAAGCCTTAGCCCACACTGGTTTCTCTGCAGGAAGCCCCTGGGCCTCCACTTCTCATTGCAACCCACCACTTCTTCTCAAGTCCCGACTCAAATACCACCTCTCTAAGGAAGTCTTTCAACTCTGCAGGCAGAAGGCGCGCCTTGCCAGGCGGCTGGGTCTCCCTGCTCATGTCACTGAGTGCATCGTGACAGTGCATGATTGTCCCTTCACTCATCACCACCCTGTGGGCTGACCCGTGTCTTATTTATAATGCCTAGCAGAGGGACTGGCACACTGTAGGTACTCAAGAAATATTTGTTGAATGAATGAATACATGAGTGTGCCCTGACTGTGGAGTTTGGAGGTCACTAATTGCGGGAGGACATCTGACAACAGTGTGTCTAAGTGTGTGCCCGACCCCACCTAAGCCCTGGCACCGGGAGGATGAGCTCTGAGGCAGGAGATAGATAATGAGACCTTGGTGATTCTTAGATACCACAGATCCTGCTTCAGGGGCAGGTGGGTCCCTGAAACTGGATGAGTTCATCTTAGCAATAAGGGTTGTGACGTCACGTCAGGAATGCTGCTGAGGCTCCATCCTGCTGTTGGGGACCGGGGAGAAGCACACACTGGCATAATAGGAGGCACCAGGGATGCGCGGGATGTGGGGCCTGGTGGGGGGTCCCCTGCTCACACAACTGCCTCCTGCCTGAGCTCGGGAATCTCTGGGATCAACACAGGCTGTTCTGGGAATCCAACGGCAACAGGTCAGCATCTCTTCCAAGAGAACCCCAGGGGCAGGCTGGGCTGGGCTGGTGTGAGCAGGTTCTGAGAGCACAGGAGGGCGGCCCACCTGTTTTGGAGAATATGCACGGTGTAGATGGGTGTCCTAACAGCATAACTGTGGGGCCCTAAGCCAAAAGCAGGTGTTTGGGCTTGTTCCCAAGGACATGGGTTTGAATCCGACTCCAGGTGGATCCGTTGTGTGATCTTGAGAAACTTCTTGACCTCTTTGGGTTTCATCTCCCTACCCCCGCCAGGAAAATAGGGGTCGTGGTACCTACCTTCTAAGGTCACTGTGAGGATTAAATGGGGTAATGTGTAGACGGTGCTTTGTCGCCTGGCCGGCCCCATAAGGGTAGAAGCAGCGCCCGAGACAAGGTATAGGAATGTGGTCACGATTCCCACCTGCACAGGATTCAGGGAGGACAGCTGGCTCCCCCAAACTGGATCTCATCTCCATCTCTGTAGAAAGTGGGGTGCAGCAGGTGACAGCCTCAAAGTGCCAGGTGGGCACTGCACAGAGGTGGTGGGGGGCCATGGGATTGGAGAGCTGCTGGCATGGCAGGTCCTGGAGAGGTCCACACGGCAAGGGGATGGCAGGCAAAGGTGTCGGTTCCCGTGCTGTCTGTACACTTAAGTGAGAAAGAAAACAGCAGGAACAGGCTGGGTCCCCGAGCATCTGGGTATTCGAATTTTCTGCTTGTGGAACAAAACTGTTCTTGGCAGGGACGCGGATACTGCCTTTTCAAGGATTTTAAATTTCCATTGTAAACAACATAAACGCTGTTTTGTTTCAGAGGGTCTTCAGTTCCCCCTCCTCCTTTGACGGCAGGTAACTCTTAAACCCAGGCGGTCTGGAGGGGAGGAGGACACAGTTCCTGCACCCAGGACGCCTGTCCTCCTCCGTCCAAGTGAAGGGACACAGTTATATCCTGAGACTTTGCTGGAAAGCTTCTTGCAGGTTAGTGACTTTGAGTCGGTTTGCGAGGGGCCAGGGGGACTGCAGGGAGGACACCTGAGACCAGGTGCTAGAACGTGGGCAGGAGGAGGAAGGCAGAAGGTTCTGGAAGAAGCATCCGTCCTGCTGTGGACTGCCCCAGACCAGATTCTCCGCTGTGCCCAGCTGCTCTCCCCTGCAGCCCCAGATCTGCCCCCTGTCCCAGGTTGGAGCCCAGCAGTCATGCCGGACACACCAGTGGAGGAATCCCTTTTCCAAATCATCCACTGCTACCACCAGTATGCAGCCCGCGAAGGGGACGTGGAGACCCTGACCCTGGAGGAGCTGAGGGCCCTGCTCACGGACAACGTGCCCCGCTTCATGGAGACTTTGGTGTGTGGGGTCTGGGATAAGGTGGGGATGAGGAGGGGATGGATATGGGGTTGGCTCTGGGGTTGGAGGGGAGTGTTGGAAGTGAGTGGTGAGGGCGTTGGGAAGGAGCTGACTTCCAGGAGAATCTCCAACTTGGCGGAGGGAAGTGAAGGAGAGCAGGGTCTGCCCAGATTCACTTCCCACCCTTCCCTCCCCTGCCTGCCTCACTCCAGTCCAAGGCCCTCAGACCTCACCCCCAGACTGTTTGTCCCTCTGTCCATCTTGTCTGCTGAGCACAGGTCCTTAATTCTTCCCTCTGTTGGCAGGCCCATCTGTCAGCGACTGCCCCCAGCCCTGGACCCCTTCTCCAGCCCTTTGAACTCAGCTCTTTCCCCTGCCACTCTGTCCCCTGGGCCTGGGGGAGCAGAGTTCAGGCTGTGGGGGCCACCCTAGGACAGGCAGGGGTAGGAGAATTAACTTTCCCTCCCACCTCCTGCCCCCTGAGTGTCGCAGATGTGGACGAGCCCCGCCCACCCCAGGGGAACCTTAGGGACTGTAAGGCCCACAAGGATTTTTGTGGGTGCTACCCTCCGCCCTCTGCCCTATCCCCTAGGGTTTCTGAACAGTCATCTCCAGAGATGTGAGATTGAACCACTGACTCAAGGTCACTGTCATGTCCCATCCCTGCTCCTAACTGGGAAAGAGCAGAGGAGACAGTCTTGCCCTCTGTCACCTGGAGCGTACCCCTGAGCATGGGTAGGGGAGCTGGGGTGACTAGTCTTATTTCTAGGACACCTTTTCCTTTCCAGGGAAAACTCTGTGGGGCTGTGCCTGGACCCCCCAGGCCCTCCATGCATGGGGCTCACAGTCCCACTTAGGTACAGGGCCCTAGAGGACAGACACCTGGGCACGGAGAGCAGGCTTGATGTGGCACAGGTGAGGGAAGCGGGGAGAGCCTGCTCAGGGCAGGAAGCCTCCAGCCATTCTCTGGCGCCCAGCTTAGTGGTGGTGATGGGGTTATAGGAGCGGAAGATGGTGGTGGGAGAGAGGCCATGGATCTGCCTGCAGGGATGAAGGCCTGCCCACAGCCCCCGCCCCTGAGTGCTTCCCAAACGCCCCCCAGGGTGTGGGGGTGCCACGCCCACCGGCCGAATCTTACTGAAATCTGCTTCCCCTGCCACTACCCACTGCCTCGCCGTGCCCACCCGGCCTGACCCGTCTCCTTGCTGGGCTGAGGCCACTGACTTTCCTCACGTTGTCCCCTCCTCCATCAAACCTCAGTCCTAAGGTCAGGGATGCAGCATGCGATGTCCTAGTCAGCGTTTCCTGCAAGGCCCTTGTGGGCAGGGCGCTCTGCTGTTACCCTGCAGGTGGCTGAGGCCTGGTGAGAGGGCTGCATGCTTGGAGGGTGGTTGACCCTCTTGCCCCTCTTCAGGGTCGGAAGGAGCCGTACTACATCGCGGAGTTGTTCCGGGCAGCAGACAAGAACAAGGACAACCAGGTCTGCTTTGAAGAGTTCCTGTACATCCTGGGCCAGCTGGCGAAGGATTACCACCTGCAGTACCACCGGCAGCTGTGTGCCCACCACTGTGCCCAGCAGAGCCTCTACTAGGGCCGCTGGAGCCTGCTTCCAGGAGGAGCGTGACCTGGCTACGGGGCCCGGCGGAGAACTCGGCTGTGTGTGCAGCTCACTCTTGTGCAGCCTCACACTCATTTGGGGTATTAGTCTCTTCATGGTTCTGGGTACCATTCATGGATGGGAGATTCAACTTCTGCCTTCAAGAGGCCCCTGTCTGATGGAGGAGGCACAGCCCCGGAGCCCACGTGTTCTTGTTTAAGTGGGGACACACCCGGCCCTCGGCTCTCAGACTGTGAGAAGGAGGCTCTTCCTTTGGGCAGTTGACCCTCTAATAGGAAGCCGTGCCTCCCCAGTCATGTTCCTGACGACTGTCTCCCTGGACAGAGGGGCAGAAGGAGAGCCACGTGGGCAGAAGTACACTGGACATTGTTTTTGAAGGTGTCCCTGCTCAGAATGAGAGCTTCAATGACCCTGTATATAAAGGGCTTGGGGAGGGACCAGGGTGGGGAGAGGAGCACATTTTAAGGGGAACGGCAGTGGAGACACCTGTGGTTGCCCAGGACAACAGAAAGTGGGCCTGGAAATGAATCTCCAAGGGGAATAAACCCAGTTGTGTTTGAATAGGTGGGTCTGAGAAGCCTCTCTCTCTCTCTCTCTCTCTCTCGTACTGGGGGACTGAACGCAGGGCCTGGCTGTGTGTGCTAGGCGAGAGTTCTGCGCTGAGCTGCACCCCAGGTCCAGCACAAGACCCCAGCAGTCCTGGAAGGCCCATCTCTGGGGTGGGACTGTACCTGGGTAATGGACCCCCGAGGGGCTGTTTAAGGTGGAGGTGATCAACACTCCCCCAGAGGCTACCTGGGGACCCCGGGGGATGGGTCAGACAGGGGAGAGGCTGGGGAGCCATCGGGAGGCTCCTGCACAGCCTGGGCCCAGGCCAATGAGGAGGAGGTCAGTGGCTGTAGGCAGGGAAACAAGGGAGGGCGTAGACACAGGGGAAGTGGGGACATGGAAGCCTCACACCTGGGTGACAAACTGAGGAAGGGGGGTCCAGAACGAGGCTGATGTTTCAGGCGTGGGTGACAGAGGGGAACACGTGCTGGAAGTGGCGCTGGCATTTGGTGTCGGGGTGGGGAGCCGTTGTTCGAGGGAGGATTGTGCCTTAGGCTTTGTTCCTGCTGAGTCAGAGGTGGAGACGGGTTAAAGAGGACAGTCAAGTCCGGCAGAAGGCAGACTCCTGTCATAGGAAGGGCAATGCGTGGACCTGAGACTGTCAAGCAGAGAAGACTTCCTGGAGGAGGAAAGGTCAGGTCTGGTTTTTACCAATATAACCTGATGACGGATGTGGTGTCCTGTCTCTGAGTTACTCGTGACTCGATGGTCCAAGCCCTCTTGTGGTCCCTGACCCCTCCTAACTGAGACCTGCCCCTGCCCCATCTGGGTTGTTTCTGTCTCGCTCTCCCCTGGAGCCCGGGAATTGGAGGCAGAATTCCTCGGGGAGGGTCTCATCTGCCTTCAGGCCCTGTCGGAGACCACCTTGGTGGGCTTCCTTTTCTGAGGATGGGTCTGGGAACTCATGGCCTGAGCTTATTGTGATCAAAAGGATGGATTTAGAAAGAATGACGGGCCACCATCGCATGCTCACCTCTGGGAAGCCTTTTGTACCCCATTTCCCTCTGGGTCTCTCCCTATCCAGGGGCACTTTTTCGGTACTGAGGATTGAGCTAGGGACAGTCTACCTCGGAACCTCACCCCCAGCCCTTTTTATTTTGAGACCGGGTCTTGCTAAGTTGCCCAGGCTGGCTTTGAACTTGTGACCCTCCTGCTCAAGGGGCATGCTCTGTTCACTGTAGTTGTGTTTCACTCTCTGTATCCCCAGACCTGACCATGAACTTGACCCTGAGTCAGCGCAGGGCTGGCTCAGCATGTGTCAACAGGGAGGGGTCTGCTGGCTGGGGACCCACGATTCCCCCTCCTGCAGGCAGGCCCCTTGGTCAAGTCCTGGTCCTGTTATGGAGACAGAGTATTCAGACCCTCAACGTCCAGGGCAGAGGACGTTGCTGCCCGTCTCACCTGAGCTCTGTGGGGGCTCTCGGGGCTCTGAGGACTTAACAAGGGCACTGGGTTGGGTCCTTTGGGCCTCCCTTCACCCCCTTTCTGGGGATTTCTCCACCACTTCTGCCTGCTCTGTCCTCATTTCCTCAGCCTGGGGATGGGCTGTCAGTCTGTTGGGACACATACTGGGGACTGGGCCTTTCCTGTAAACATGGCCAGGTTCCGCTCCGCTAGGTTACCCCATGTCCCTCAGGCTGATTGCAGGTTCTGCCTTTCCCCCAACACGTTTGCCCAATTCTTGGCACCCATCTCCTGCCAGCTCAGCTCAGCCTCCTCCTCTCCCTGCAACCCGCACGTCTACCTATCAGAGGGCTCTGTGGGTGACCGTTCATGGTGTCCTGGGCCAGCCTGCACAGGATGCAATAAGGCAGCCCCCACTCATGACTGCCTTTAGTCTCCTGAGCCAGACCTGGAGGAGGACCTCAAGCCACACCCCATGCCTCAGTTTCTCCATCTGTCACACAGGGATAATGATACCAGTGACACCCACTTTATAAGGTTGCTGGGGACATCAAGTGAGTCAGTGGATGTAAACACATTTTGAAAATATGTGACACTTTGGGATAAGGTAGTGTATGGCAGGTCATATAGGATTGTCCCTGACGAATACTATATACAATTTAAGGGCTGACCACTGGTTGAAAACTTGTCCTGGTATATGGCAGAAGGGGCACTGTAGTCTGACCTAGAGGCTGATTCACCTCTTGTCAGAAAGTCAGAGTGCATTTGGCTGATGGATTCATACGCTCTGCCTTCTTCCCCAAATGGCTAAGTGTAACGAAGGGAATTTTTGCATTGGGTAAAGAAAACACTAAAATTCAATTTTGTATTCATTTATTACCTAGAGGTGTGGAAATAAGTGTAGGTTCTCTTCTAGAGGGTTTCCCAGTGCCAAAGAAAAGGGAGACCACAAACAGGTGAATCCTAGAAAGTCAGGGCCGATGTCGTGACGGGGAGGGGCTTGGGTGGCACAGAGGAGAGAAGAACTAACCTGTGTATATGGGGGCTGTGCGGGGATCAGGTGGCCTCAGAGCTGGGCTGGGAAGGATGAGAAGGATGTCATGAGGATGAAGAAGTCTTCCAGGCAGTGTCACATCGTATCCTGAATCTCATTGTTCTCTCTGTGGACCTCGGTTTCCTTGTCTGTACAATAGAAATTGCAAAGTATGTAACTCATAGGATTATTGTGAGAGTTAGATGAACTGATGCAAATGAAGCACTTATGATGATTCCCGACATAGGACACAGACTCAGCAAATGTCAGCTGTGATTTTGCAATTATTTGTTTGGGTGTGCTAGGCATTGTGCTGGGTCCTGGGGTCAAGGGCAAAGATGCACAGTCTGGCTCTGGAGGGCTCACAGCATGGTTAGAGAATCAGGCACAGGTCTGGGGCAGAAAGCATGGCTCACTGCTTTCAGCACCAAACATTGTGTGTGTGTGTGTGTGTGTGTGTGTTAAACCTTTTATTAAAATATGATGCATAGTAATAAGTCCCAAATTTTCAACTCTGCAAATATTTCAGGGAAATTGACACAGGTGCATTAAAAATAGGTTGTACACCATGAACTAGAACTTATACATCTTTTATGATCATTAAGAACAAAAGTCTGGCCAGGCACGGTGGCACATGCCTGTAATCCCAGCGGCTCGGGAGGCTGAGGCAGAATTGCAGGTTCAAAGCCAGCCTTAGCAACTTAGTGAGATCCTAAGCAACTCAGTGAGACCCCGTTTCTAAATAAAATATAAAAAAGGGCTGGTGATGTGGCTCAGTGGCAAAGCCTCCTTGGGTTCAATCCCTGGTGCCACCCTCCTCCAAAAACAAAAACAAAAAAATCTGTCCGTGTATGGTGGCACATGTTTATAATCCCAGTGACACTGGAGGCTAAGGCAAGAGGATCACAAGTTTGAGGCCAGCTTGGGCAACTTAGTGAGACCTGTCTCAAAATAAAAAGGGCTGGGGATGTGGCTCAGTGGCTCAGAGCATCCAGTACCAAATAAAGGGAGGAAGAGGAGGAGGAGGAGGAGGAAATGAAAATATAGATTGGTTTATAAATCTATAAAAGGGACATTGGGACAACATAGTAATATACACATATATGTGGCCTTATAAATAGAAGATTGGGCAAATATGACATGTGGGATGATGGGTCAAAATGTGCCAAGAAAAGTGTATAAGTCATAAGTTTTTTGGATCTATTATTAATTCTCACAAGGTATAATTCTTTTTGTAGATGGAAGCATTTTAAAACAATTTAAAAAATTATTGTGGCACAATATATATAACATTACATTTATCATCTCCACCGTTTTTAAGTGTACCTTTCAGTGGTATTAAAAGTACACTCACATTGTTGAACAATGTATCTCCAAACTCTTTTCATCTTGCAAAATTGAAACTCTGGACCCATCGAGCAGCACCCCTCTATTTGCCCTCCTCCCAGTCTCTAGCATTGGCCCTTGTACTTTCTGTCTCTATGGATCCGACTCCTCTAATGATGTCATATAAGCGGAGTCATACGGCATTCGTCTTTTTGTGATAGGCTTATTTCACTTAGCATAATATCCTCAAGGTTCATCCATATGGTATCAAATGTCAAGATTTCTTTCCTTTTTAAAGTCTGAATAATATTCCACTGTATATATGCATTTGTTTATCCATTTACCTGTTAACGTCCTCTTGTGTTTCTCCCCTCTTGGCTCTTGTGAATTATGTTGTATGAGTGTGGGTGTACAAATATCTTTTCAAGACCTTACTTTTATTTTTTCTGGTATATACCTGGAAGTGGAATTGCAGGATCATGTGATAATTATGTTTATTTTATTTTTTTTGAGAAGCCACCATACCATTTTCTTCAGAGCCGCCAAACCATTTTACATCCTCATCCACAGCACACAAGTCTTCCGATCTCTCTAGGTCTTTGCCAACCGTTGTTACTTTTCTTTTCTTTTCCTTTTTCTTTTGGTGGTACTGAGAATTGAACCCACTGAAATATACTTCCAAGTCCTTTTTATTTTTTATTTTTGAGACAGGATCTCTCTCACTAAGTTGCCCAGGCTGGTTTTGAACCTGTGATCCTCCTGCCACAAACCTTCTGAGTAGCTTGGAGTCATGGGCCACCCTCTCAGATGTTTTTTTTCATGATAGTAACCCTCTTAACAGGTATGAGGTGGTATCTCGTGCTGTTATTTTTTTAAGATGGACACAATATCTTTATTATCATTTTATTTATTTTTATGTGGTGCTGAGAATCAAACCCAGTGCCGCACGTGTGTGAGGCGAGCTCTCTACCGCTGAGCTATAACCCCAGCTCCTCCTCCTGTTCTGGTTTTGATTTGCATT